ATCACTATGTATTAGTGTGTAGTGTGGTGCACGCCCACACCTTAGATCACTATGTATTAGTGTGTAGTGTGGTGCACGCCCACACCTTAGATCACTATGTATTAATGTGTAGTGTGGTGCACGCCCACACCTTAGATCACTATGTATTAGTGTGTAGTGTGGTGCACGCCCACACCTTAGATCACTATGTATTAGTGTGTAGTGTGGTGCACGCCCACACCTTAGATCACTATGTATTAATGTGTAGTGTGGTGCACGCCCACACCTTAGATCACTATGTATTAATGTGTAGTGTGGTGCACGCCCACACCTTAGATCACTATGTATTAGTGTGTAGTGTGGTGCACGCCCACACCTTAGATCACTATGTATTAGTGTGTAGTGTGGTGCACGCCCACACCTTAGATCACTATGTATTAGTGTGTAGTGTGGTGCACGCCCACACCTTAGATCACTATGTATTAGTGTGTAGTGTGGTGCACGCCCACACCTTAGATCACTATGTATTAGTGTGGTGCACGCCCACACCTTAGATCATTATGTATTAGTGTGTAGTGTGGTGCACGCCCACACCTTAAATCATTATGTATTAGTGTGTAGTGTGGTGCACGCCCACACCTTAGATCATTACGTATTAGAGTCAACTTATTGATAACTATAGAAATAAGGAAATAAATAGTGTACCACAAATTCTTTGGATGTGTGATAATGGTATGATAGACAGAATACTTAGGAGCTACAAGCATTTAGCCCCAAGAGTGTAACACTTATATGCTGTGCTTACTATATTAACCTGCAATGTTAAATGTGTTTCTTGTACTGAGATTTGTCCTCACTGATGATTGATGAAGATTAAGCCACCCAAGAGGTGGCACGGGCATGAATAGCCCGTAAGTGGTACAATTTTTTTTTCTCAGTATTCTGAGGTTGCATTTAACCATCAAGCTGTTATCGTGGGGGAGGATACTGCTTCACAGTCTTTATGAGGGTGTCCAGCTGCTGAACACCTTTGTTGACCAGGAGAGTGGCTGTGTTGATGGCTTCAGGGTGGCCACTGCATGATTCAGGAACTCTTAAAGCTCTTCTAAGGTCGTTGGTTGCTTCACATTCCAGAAGATAGTGAAGTAATGACTTTTCTGTGACAGTTTGGCAGAAGATGCACTCTCTCTGTCGGGGTTCACCAATCTCCCAGTTGCATCTGTAACCTAGACGTAGTCTATATAACCTAACTGCTATTTCCCTGTGGATTACTTTTGGGATATTTAACCTTTCTAATTTGGTTGCCTGAAGATACCATGTTGCAGATGGCGAACCTTCAGCTATTCTCTGGTGCAGGTAGGCTTTGTTGAGGCGTGAGAGTTTTTTGGTGATGATGTGTTTTATGTTCTCTAGGCTGGGTTGAATTGTTTTATGTATCACTGGATGACGAGTTGCCAATTTAGCAATTTCATCAGCTTTTTCATTTAATGGGATTCTAATATGGGATGGGATCCAGTTTAAGGTTATGTTGAGTCCTTTGCCTTTAGCGACTGCTCCAAGATACAAAATGGTGGTAATTATTTCCACATTATCTTTCCACTGTTTTTGTCCTAGTATTTGAAGTGCAGCTTTTGAGTCTGTGTGTATGATTGCCTTTTGAGTGTTTTGTGCAATCATATATGCGAATGCCTGTTGTATGGCAAACAGCTCAGTTTGGGTTGATGATACTAGTCCTCCCAGTCTCCAATATGCCTGAACGCTGGTCGTGCAAAGAGCAGCGCCAGCACTCTCATATTCTGTGTCCACCGATCCGTCTGTGAAGATGTGGGTGGCTCCTGCTACTGCTATGCTATACATTTGCTCTTCAATTATGCGCCTTAGGATTGTCAGGTCATAGGCAGCCTTTTTCATTGGGAGACTTTCTATTACTATTTTGAAAGTAGGCTCTTCCCACGGCGCGGAAGGAGTGTAATTTGGGTGTGGATGATCACCCTCTCTATCAAGAACCATGTTTTTTAAATGTAGTCTGTTTAGGAATTTTCCTGCTCTTGCAACCCAAGAGTTTCCATTGTTTTGGCCTAGTCCAACCACCAAGGCCTGCCGTACTGGGATTGGATCAGAAGAAATAATTATCTTACTGACAATTGTAGCTGTCCTTTGTGATATTCTTTCTTGTAGAGAGGGCAAACCCGTCTCCAGTCTAAGAGTTTCAAGCCTGGTCCACATGGGGGCTCCCAGTGCAGCTCTCATAGCATTGTTTTGGGCAACTTCAAGCTTTTTCCACTGTTGGTGTGATAGATTTGTGAGTGCAGGTGCGGCATAATCGATCACTGATCTGACTGCCTGTACATAGTATGTGCGAAGGACTTGCAGATTGGCTCCTCCAGAAAGGGAGGTCAGCGACCTGAGGATTGCCGTCTGGGCCGCAGTTCGCTCTCTCAAGTATCTGACCTCAGCATTAAAATTCATGTGTGTGTCCAGGATGATTCCTAGATACTGATAAGTGTCGACCCATTCAATTGGTTGACCCTGTACTGTGAGCTGGATGTTGGGCTTCGCTCTTTTTATGGGCATGGCCTTTGACTTTGAGGGGTTGAGTTTGATCCCAATCTGTTTTGCCTCTTTACTGATGCAGTCTAAGCATTTGGGTGCAAGGCGCGCCACATCCCTTCCTTTTATGATGATGACAAAGTCGTCCGCGTAGTTTAGCAGCCTGCAGTGATGTGGAAGTTTCAACCTCATCATTCTTTCCATTAAACAGTTGAAGAGAAGAGCGCTGAGAATACCTCCTTGCGGTGTACCATTTTCATGTCTTTTGTACTCAGAGACTGTGCCATGAAGTTTTACTCTTGCTTCTCTGTTTATGAGACAGTTTTTGGTCCAGGTTGCCTCTGACCTCTTTGTCAATGAGGCAGCAGAGAATAGCTGGGGCACTAGCCAGTTCAAAGGCTTTTTCGAGGTTGTCCTCACTGGATGTGTGCGCCTCTTGAGGGACTTGAAGTAGAAGAGGGTAGAAATAGCCTAAGCAACTCTGTCCCTTTGAGATTTATTTTATTTAGCCCGTGCTACTTGGAACTTTTTGTTGCTAGTAGCTGAATCTTTAACAACAACAACAGCAAAAGGCCTATTAGCCCAAATGAGGCAGCTCCTATTTATAACCACCAAACCTCTTTCATAAATGTCTAGCCGACACTTGAAACAATCAAGGAATCTTACTTCTATTGTGCTACGCGGTAATTGGTTCCACAAATCAACAACCTTGTTACCGAACCAGTATTTACCCAGATCTTTCTTAAATATAAGCTTTTCCCACTTACATCCATTTTTTCATGTTTTATCTTGTGTTCATACCTTTAATACCCTATTAATATCCCCTTTGTTATGTCCAATCGTCCACTTGTACATCTCTATCATGTCACACCTACTTCTTTGACTTTCTAGAGAATGTAATTTAAGCTTTGTCAATTTTTCATATGAGGGTTTCTAATTTGGGGGATTAACTTTGACATCCTATGCTAGACACGTTCTAGTGAGTTTATATCCATTCTATAATACGGCGACCAAAACTGAACTGCATAATCTAAATGGGGCCTAACCAGAGCAATATATAGCTGAAGAACCACACCAGGTGTCTTGTTACTAACGCTTCGATTATTAAATCCCAGTGTCCTATTTGCCTTATTACGAACATTCATGCATTGATCCTTTGGTTTTAAATTCTTACTAATCATAACTCCCAGATCCCTTTCGCAATTCGACTTCGCAATCTCAACACCATCTAGCTCGTATCTTGCAACTCTGTCATCATTACCTAGCCTCAGAACTTTACATTTATCAGCATTAAACTGCATCTGCAAATCTTCTCACTATTTCAAAACCCTATTTAGATCGTCTTGAAGTGATAGTGAATCTTTTTATGTGTTTATTTCTCACCCGATTTTCTATCATCGGCAAATTTGCAAATATTGTTGCTGAAACCTAATCTAAATTATCATTTAATATACATATATATATATATATATATATATATATATATATATATATATATATATATATATATATATATATATATATATATATATTAGACACTCAACAGTGTAGTGGATACAGCGTGCAACTGCCACTTTGTTGGCCAGTGTTCGAGTCCCCTGGTGGGTTGAGTGTCTAAAAAGTTATAAACTTCAGCTACTGGAACAGGGTAGTCTGTGCATATATATATTATATATATATATATATATATATATATATATATATATATATCTATATATATATATATATATATATATATATATATATATATATATATATATATATATATATATATATATATATATAATTTGGGGGATTAACTTTGACATCCTACGCTAGACACGTTCTAGTGAGTTTATATCCATATAAACCATATATATATATATATATATATATATATATATATATATATATATATATATATATATATATATATATATATAATAATATATATAATATATATATATATATATATAGATATATATATATATATATATATATATATATATATATATATATATATATATATAGAATAACAGAGGTCCCAGGACAGAGCCTTGAGGCACTCCACTGACAACATTTTCCAACTCTGACTTAACCATATTTATACTAACTCTTTATTTCCTTTGGTATAGCCATGCCGTAATCCAACTTAATATAGCACCCACAATACCATGCCCTAATGACGATTGGTTCCTTAAGCAACACATTATGGAACCAACTGGGAAAATAATATTGTAAAATTAGTGATAAATAACAGGGAGACAAATTAATAACATACTACAGAATGGAATTAAATTCACTAGAATTTAGTGAAAAAGAGTCAAGTGAAGGATGATAAATGTTCTTACGTATGTTCTTATTTTATTATGTTCTTATTTTATTGTGTTCCTATTTTATTAAGTTCTTATTTTTTGTTCGTATTTTATTATATTCTTACTTTAATATGTTCTTATTTTATTGTGTTCTTATTACGTTCTTATTTATTCCAGATTCAGGAAAGTTCTTGGAAAATTCTGGGTTGGAAGTACCTGGTTGATCTCTGGAATAAATTATGCAGTAAGAAGTGGTATTATTTGATTATTTCAAGCTTAGGTTTGACAAATATAGGCAAGAGTTTGGGAGGAATTTAAAACAGGAGCCTCGAATGGGACAATAAAGGCCTTGTACAGTTTCCTGTGTTTGTGTGTTTTAGGAAACTGTTCACGTGACTGTTCAGAGTGTGGTGGTCTTGACTATATAACAACTGTCACTCAGTCCCTCTTATTACGGGCTCACCACAGCCCGTGCTACATGGACACTTCGTCCTGAGTAGCTAAATCTGAAACAACAACAACAACAGTCCCTCTTAGTTTAGTCTTCTTGGCCAAGTAACGGTCAGTCTTGAGGTTCAGCTCGACTCATGGAACCTTGCGTCCAGCCTGCTTCAGGGAGATGCGTCAAGCCTGCTTCAGGGAGATGCGTCAAGCCTGCTTCAGGGAGATGCGTCAAGCCTGCTTCAGGGAGATGCGTCAAGCCTGCTTCAGGGAGATGCGTCCAGCCTGCTACAGAGAGATGCGTCCAGCCTGCTACAGAGAGATGTTTCCAGCCTGCTTCATGGAGATGCGTCCAGCCTGCTTCAGAGATATACGTCCAGCCTGCTTCGGTGAGTCGCATTCAGCCTGTTTCGGTTAGTCGCATTCAGCCTGCTTCGGTGAGTCGCATTCAGCCTGCTTCGGTGAGTCGCATTCAGCCTGCTTCGGTGAGTCGCATTCAGCCTGCTTCGGTGAGTCGCATTCAGCCTGCTTCGGTGAGTCGCATTCAGCCTGCTTCGGTGAGTCGCATTCAGCCTGCTTCAGTGAGATTCACGCAGCCTGCTTCAGTGAGAGGCGATCAGTATTGCTTTCATCCTGCTCCAATAAGCCACATCCAGCCTGCTTCAGTAAGATGCGCCAAGTCTCCTTCAGTGTGCTACATTCAGCCTTCTCCAGTAAGATACTTGCAGCCCAGATTCAAGCCTGCTTCAGTAAGCACACTTAGCCTGCTTCAGTGAGATGCGTCCAGCATGATTCACTGACACGTGACCGGCCTGCGATTGTGATATGATAGACGTTTACCTGATAGACGATGATTGTGATATGATAGGCGTGCAGCCTGTTTCGGTGAAAAAAAGGCAGCCTGCTTCAATGGGAAAAATGCAGCCTGCTTCGGTGAGAGACAGGCTGCTCCACGTCTCAGCAGCCTGTCTTGTCTCTCGTGTCCTCTGGCCAAATTTGTTAATGTATTTCATGCATGATAGTCACATTATGCCACATACTTAAAATGTATAATTCCACAATATTTGCAATAAATAAGGTATAATAATGCTTATGTTATTTTCCCAAAAAGTTTGCTCATTAAAAAATCTCGTTAATCTGAAACATTAATGAAAATTATACAGTAGCAAATATTATGATTTGGCCATAAAGCAACTAAACTCACTCATCTTTATTGCCACGTTAAACAGCAAAATTAAACAGGGAACGGTAGACTCAAAATTGACCTGGAATCAATTTATTCTAAATTGAACAATGAACTTTAGAATTTGGAAAGTGCAGATGGCCTATTGGCCATACGAGGCAGCTTCTATTTATATCTATTTTATATCTTCTATTTATATCCACGCAAACTCATTCTGACATGTGACAGTGTCAGACCACGAACGAAGGATTAAGAAGAAATTCCTTAAATACTTTCGTATTGAATAATGCATCTTCAGAAGGATCCTTCTGAAGATGTACTATTTCCTTCGTTGTTTGACAATGTTCGTCACGTGATAGACACACATTCATATATGTCTAACCTACGCTTGAATCTTACCCATTATTTGTCCAGGTCTCAAAGTCGTTAAGGACAGGGATCTTAAGAACACCTTGACAAGGCCGCCTACAGACGCCCTAAGGACAGCAAATTCATTTGCCGTGTTGAAGGACGAGTGCTGTGGTGAGCCTGCAGTTCACTAGGAACAGCGGAGCGCGGGCCCCTCAGGGTGCTCAGAAAGTTAAGGAGGTACCAAAGCGAATTTTGATTGTGGGAGATTCCCAAGTGAGGTATTTAGACAGGACGTTTTGTGCCAGAGATAGGGGGGAACAGGTTAAGGGTCTGCTATCCGGGAGCTGGAATTAGAGATATTGTTGACAATATGAACGATATTATGACAGGAAATGGGAACAAACCCATTATTTGTATTAGCGCAGGGGGTAATGATGTTGGACGAGTTAGGAGTGAGGCCCTGATAAAGAAATTTAACAGAGCCAAAGAATTTGTTAGGAGCAAGGGAGGAATTCCGATCATATGTGGCATTCTTCCAAGAAAGAGCGTTGGGAATGAATGGTTGTCGAGGGCACTTGGTGTCAATTGCCGGCTGGAAAGATATTGCTAATCAAATGCAATATCTTTCATAGACAACTGGGAACACTTCTATGGAAGAAATGAAATGTATGCTCGTGATGGGTGTGCATCTATCGAGGGCTGGGGTTGTTGCTGTTGCGAACTCGTTGGAACCAGTGGTTAGAGGTGTTTGTTTGGGTTTAAACTGTTAGTAGATAGTGGTATGGGAATTGATTTGGAGGAAGGAGGTAATAAAAGTATGTGTTCGTGGGAGAAAGGAATTGGCAAAATGATCAGGGAAAGAGAAGGGCTTCGAAATAACAATTCACTTAGGGTATATTACACTAACAGCAGAAGTCTAAGAAACAAAATAAACGAGTTAAATGCTCTTATCTGTACAGAAGAAATAGATATTATTGCACTTACCGAAACGTGGATGAATGTAGAAAATAGAGAACTATTAGCTGAATATCAAATAAATGGATTTAAACTATTTCACACAGATAGATATATTAGACGAGGAGGGGGAGTAGCCATATATGTTAGGGACAATTTGAAATGTAGTCTCAAAGAGAGAATCAAAACTGAGCAACACACAGAAACTATTTGGATAGAATTAAACGAAAAAAACAAATATTATTATAATAGGAGTTATATATAGGCCACCAAATTTAGACAGAATGGAAGCAAAGCATCTATGGGATGAAATATCTAGAGCATCTAGATCTAACAGTATTTATGTCATGGGTGACTTTAATTTTAGTGGAATAAACTGGGTGAACAAAACAGGGAATAATGAAGCAGACGACTTTCTAGAATTAATTGACGATTGCTTTCTTACGCAACATATTAAGGAACCAACGCGGGGAAATAATTTTTTAGATTTAGTGTTAACTAACAGGGAAACACAAATTAAGGACATGGAAATAGGGAGTGAGTTAGGGAACAGCTATCATAAAGAAATCAGATTTAACATAGAATGGAATAGCTCTGTAGGAGAAAATTCTGTTAAAGTGCCTGATTTTCGAAAAGATGATTTCAACACCAGCTTAGGCTATTGATTTCAATAGCCTAAGAAATTTTTTGGGTCAAATAGATTGGAAAGTCTTGGGTATGGGGTGTGGGCCGGTCTTGAAGCTAGACGTAAACCCAGCGATAGGTGACGTAAAAGGGGTTTTCGATGTGGATTCAAAATATAACCTATTTAAAAATATTGTAAGCAAAGCACAGGAACGTAGTATACCATATAAATTGAATTGATCGAATACTAATGACCCAAAGTGGATAACAAAGGATCTGAAGAACCTTATAGGTAAAAAGAGAGCTTGGTACAAAAGGATTAAGAATGGGGAAGTTAGTTTAGAACAGGAATTCGTATAACTCGTTAGAAATGTTAAAAAAGAGATAAGGAAAGCAAAAAGAAATTACGAAGTTCGCATAGCAGGGCAAGCAAAGACAAATCCTAAAGGGTTTTTTCAGTTATATCGTACTAAGACTAGGGAAAGGATAGGTCCATTAAAAACTGAGATAGGTCAAATAACGGCTAATGACGAGGAGATGAGTAGTATTTTTAATAAATATTTTATATCTGTATTTACTAAAGAGGAACTTAAGGCATTAGGTTGGTGTTGGAAAAGTTGTTCAATGTCAACCAATATTATTTGACTAGTTGTATATGAAAAGTGCTGAAATTGTCCCAAGTTTCAGTAGTGCAGCGTAAATAGAAAGGGAGATTTTTTTTTTTTTTCAACGTTTTTTACACATTTTCAAGTCCACATTTCAGGTATAATTATTCTGTGACACTTTTCTGACACGTTAGCATATAATAAAGGATTGTGTGTTTTAGAATTTCCAAAACATCTTTAATTTTCATAATACAAATGTTCAAAGTTCCCCCCAAAATTATGCAAATATGGCATGTTTATTGCTATTATAAAATCAATAAATGAACTTAGAGAAAAATGAAAACACGCAAATGTAGAGACATGCCCTCCACATATACTGTGTAAGTTTCATGTAAATTGAATAAAAAATGAATCAGTTTTGTAAACGTTTGTGTCAATTGAAAAAAAAAAATAAAGTCTAAGGTTCTAAAATCTGTGACTGAGGTTGACATCAACCAATTTTCTCCAAAATTGGCATCCTTACAGATAGGCTTACGTGCAGTCAGGTGTGTAAGTTTGATGCAAATCGCCGAAAAAAAATGAAAAAAAAAATTGAATAAAATAAAATACATTTTTTTTTGTTCTTAAATTATTTTTCCAATTAAACTAATTATAATATTTGTTTAATATATGCTATTGTGATAGCAATGAGTCATAGCTATGATTTCAGTTGACACTTTTGATTGATAATCGATTTTGACCATTTTGGCATAATTTTCACAACTAATTCAATATTTTTTTTCTCCCTTCCTATTTATGCTACGATGCTGAAACTTGGACCAGATGAAACACTTTTCATATAGAACTTGTCAAAAAAGTTTTAATTGAAATTGAACGAGTTTTCATTTTTTAATTTTTTGGACCAAGATGTCCCCTTAACAATATGCCTTCAGCCGAACAAATATATGTGGGTGGGGACGAGGACAGGTTGACTAGTTTAACAGTTACCAGGGAGGATGTAATTAAACAAATAGTAAAACTAAAACCAAACAAATCCCCAGGGCCTGATGAAGTATTTGCCAGGGTG